TGCTCATACTTGTCACTCTAACGCGTCTTGTACAAACACAGTTGGCAACTACACTTGTTCATGTAAAAGTGGTTTTGTAGGAGATGGCAGAAATTGTAACGGTTCGTTTCTATTAAAGAAAGTATCGTGTGAACTCTTTCAGAACAAAAAATTGTTATGAAGATCTGTTTAAAAAAATCCTGGAATTGCTTTGTTTTTCCCATGTGTCCTTTGGTAATTTTCGTGTTGGTTTTAATGCTTGTAAGGTATTCCTTTATTCAATGTTGATTTTGTACCTTATTTTGTAGAAACATGTTCTGTTCTTTCCTTTATTGATTCTCTTGACGAATACATGTTGTTTTTTAATTGACATGATGTTGAAAACTTTATTTTGTTAATTCCTGTTATAGAATTCGTAATTGTGATATCATTTTAAATGTATTTCATATTTGTTTTTAGATGTTGAGGAATGCTTACTCAATGCTCATACTTGTCACTCAAACGCCTCTTGTACAAACACAGTTGGCAACTACACTTGTTCATGTAATAGTGGTTTTGTAGGAGATGGCAGAAATTGTACAGGTTTGTATCTACTTTTACAAAATGTCACGTGTACAATTGAAAAAGAAAAATGAGTTATGAACGTCTGTTTAAAACATCATGGAATTGTTTTGTATTGGCCATGTGTCCTTTGTTAATTTTCGTCTTTTTTAAATGCATATAAGGTATTCCTATCTATAAACTTGGGATTATACCTTATTTTCTGGAAAATATCATGTTCTTTATATACTGAATCTCCTAGGCAATTTATGCTGGTTTTAAATTGCGATGATATTAAAAACCTAATTTTGTATGTTTTTTTATAGAGTTATGAGAAGTTTGTTTCTTAATTACAGTGGCAATTTTTAAGTGTATCTCATATTTGTTCTTAGATGTTGACGAATGCTCAACCAATGCTCATACTTGTCACTCTAACGCGTCTTGTACAAACACAGTTGGCAACTACACTTGTTCATGTAAAAGTGGTTTTGTAGGAGATGGCAGAAATTGTAACGGTTCGTTTCTATTAAAGAAAGTATCGTGTGAACTCTTTCAGAACAAAAAATTGTTATGAAGATATGTTTAAAAAAATCCTGGGATTGCTTTGTTTTTCCCATGTGTCCTTTGGTAATTTTCGTGTTGGTTTTAATGCTTGTAAGGTATTTCTTTATTCAATGTTGATTTTGTACCTTATTTTGTAGAAACATGTTGTTTTTTAATTGACATGATGTTGAAAACTTTATTTTGTTAATTGCTGTTATAGAATTCGTAATTGTGATATCATTTTAAATGTATTTCATTTTTGTTTTTAGATGTTGAGGAATGCTTACTCAATGCTCATACTTGTCACTCAAACGCCTCTTGTACAAACACAGTTGGCAACTACACTTGTTCATGTAATAGTGGTTTTGTAGGAGATGGCAGAAATTGTACAGGTTTGTATCTACTTTTACAAAATGTCACGTGTACAATTGAAAAAGAAAAATGAGTTATGAACGTCTGTTTAAAACATCATGGAATTGTTTCGTATTGGCCATGTGTCCTTTGTTAATTTTCGTCTTTTTTAAATGCATGTAAGGTATTCCTATATATAAACTTGGGATTATACCTTATTTTCTGGAAAATATCATGTTCTTTATATACTGAATCTCCTAGGCAATTTATGCTGGTTTTAAATTGCGATGATATTAAAAACCTAATTTTGTATGTTTTTTTATAGAGTTATGAAAAGTTTGTTTCTTAATTACAGTGGCAATTTTTAAGTGTATCTCATATTTGTTCTTAGATGTTGACGAATGCTCAACCAATGCTCATACTTGTCACTCTAACGCGTCTTGTACAAACACAGTTGGCAACTACACTTGTTCATGTAAAAGTGGTTTTGTAGGAGATGGCAGAAATTGTAACGGTTCGTTTCTATTAAAGAAAGTATCGTGTGAACTCTTTCAGAACAAAAAATTGTTATGAAGATCTGTTTAAAAAAATCCTGGAATTGCTTTGTTTTTCCCATGTGTCCTTTGGTAATTTTCGTGTTGGTTTTAATGCTTGTAAGGTATTCCTTTATTCAATGTTGATTTTGTACCTTATTTTGTAGAAACATGTTCTGTTCTTTCCTTTATTGATTCTCTTGACGAATACATGTTGTTTTTTAATTGACATGATGTTGAAAACTTTATTTTGTTAATTCCTGTTATAGAATTCGTAATTGTGATATCATTTTGAATGTATTTCATATTTGTTTTTAGATGTCGAGGAATGCTTACTCAATGCTCATACTTGTCACTCAAACGCCTCTTGTACAAACACAGTTGGCAACTACACTTGTTCATGTAATAGTGGTTTTGTAGGAGATGGCAGAAATTGTACAGGTTTGTATCTACTTTGACAAAATGTCACGTGTACAATTGAAAAAGAAAAATGAGTTATGAACGTCTGTTTAAAACATCATGGAATTGTTTCGTATTGGCCATGTGTCCTTTGTTAATTTTCGTCTTTTTTAAATGCAAGTAAGGTATTCCTATATATAAACTTGGGATTATACCTTATTTTCTGGAAAATATCATGTTCTTTATATACTGAATCTCCTAGGCAATTTATGCTGGTCTTAAATTGCGATGATATTAAAAACCTAATTTTGTATGTTTTTTTATAGAGTTATGAAAAGTTTGTTTCTTAATTACAGTGGCAATTTTTAAGTGTATCTCATATTTGTTCTTAGATGTTGACGAATGCTCAACCAATGCTCATACTTGTCACTCTAACGCGTCTTGTACAAACACAGTTGGCAACTACACTTGTTCATGTAAAAGTGGTTTTGTAGGAGATGGCAGAAATTGTAACGGTTCGTTTCTATTAAAGAAAGTATCGTGTGAACTCTTTCAGAACAAAAAATTGTTATGAAGATCTGTTTAAAAAAATCCTGGGATTGCTTTGATTTTCCCATGTGTCCTTTGGTAATTTTCGTGTTGGTTTTAATGCTTGTAAGGTATTCCTTTATTCAATGTTGATTTTGTACCTTATTTTGTAGAAACATGTTCTGTTTTTTCCTTTATTGATTTTCTTGACGAATGCATGTTGTTTTTTAATTGACATGATGTTGAAAACTTTATTTTGTTAATTCCTGTTATAGAATTCGTAATGGTGATATCATTTTGAATGTATTTCATATTTGTTTTTAGATGTTGAGGAATGCTTACTCAATGCTCATACTTGTCACTCAAACGCCTCTTGTACAAACACAGTTGGCAACTACACTTGTTCATGTAATAGTGGTTTTGTAGGAGATGGCAGAAATTGTAACGGTTCGTTTCTATTAAAGAAAGTATCGTGTGAACTCTTTCAGAACAAAAAATTGTTATGAAGATCTGTTTAAAAAAATCCTGGGATCGCTTTGTTGTTCCAATGTGTCATTTGGTAATTTTCGTGTTGGTTTTAATGCTTGTAAAGTATTCCTTTATTCAATGTTGATTTTGTACCTTTTTTGTAGAAACATGTTTTGTTCTTTCCTTTATTGATTCTCCTGACGAATACATGTTTTTTTAATTGACATGATGTTGAAAACTTTATTTTGTTAATTGCTGTTATAGAATTCGTAATTGTGATATCATTTTAAATGTATTTCATTTTTGTTTTTAGATGTTGAGGAATGCTTACTCAATGCTCATACTTGTCACTCAAACGCCTCTTGTACAAACACAGTTGGCAACTACACTTGTTCATGTAATAGTGGTTTTGTAGGAGATGGCAGAAATTGTACAGGTTTGTATCTACTTTTACAAAATGTCACGTGTACAATTGAAAAAGAAAAATGAGTTATGAACTTCTGTTTAAAACATCATGGAATGGTTTCGTATTGGCCATGTGTCCTTTGTTAATTTTCGTCTTTTTTAAATGCAAGTAAGGTATTCCTATATATAAACTTGGGATTATACCTTATTTTCTGGAAAATATCATGTTCTTTATATACTGAATCTCCTAGGCAATTTATGCTGGTCTTAAATTGCGATGATATTAAAAACCTAATTTTATATGTTTTTTTTATAGAGTTATGAAAAGTTTGTTTCTTAATTACAGTGGCAATTTTTAAGTGTATCTCATATTTGTTCTTAGATGTTGACGAATGCTCAACCAATGCTCATACTTGTCACTCTAACGCCTCTTGTACAAACACAGTTGGCAACTACACTTGTTCATGTAAAAGTGGTTTTGTAGGAGATGGCAGAAATTGTAACGGTTCGTTTCTATTAAAGAAAGTATCGTGTGAACTCTTTCAGAACAAAAAATTGTTATGAAGATCTGTTTAAAAAAATCCTGGGATTGCTTTGTTTTTCCCATGTGTCCTTTGGTAATTTTCGTGTTGGTTTTAATGCTTGTAAGGTATTCCTTTATTCAATGTTGATTTTGTACCTTATTTTGTAGAAACATGTTCTGTTCTTTCCTTTATTGATTTTCTTGACGAATACATGTTGTTTTTTAATTGACATGATGTTGAAAACTTTATTTTGTTAATTCCTGTTATAGAATTCGTAATTGTGATATCATTTTGAATGTATTTCATATTTGTTTTTAGATGTTGAGGAATGCTTACTCAATGCTCATACTTGTCACTCAAACGCCTCTTGTACAAACACAGTTGGCAACTACACTTGTTCATGTAATAGTGGTTTTGTAGGAGATGGCAGAAATTGTACAGGTTTGTATCTACTTTTACAAAATGTCACGTGTACAATTGAAAAAGAAAAATGAGTTATGAACGTCTGTTTAAAACATCATGGAATTGTTTCGTATTGGCCATGTGTCCTTTGTTAATTTTCGTCTTTTTTAAATGCATGTAAGGTATTCCTATATATAAACTTGGGATTATACCTTATTTTCTGGAAAATATCATGTTCTTTATATACTGAATCTCCTAGGCAATTTATGCTGGTTTTAAATTGCGATGATATTAAAAACCTAATTTTGTATGTTTTTTTATAGAGTTATGAGAAGTTTGTTTCTTAATTACAGTGGCAATTTTTAAGTGTATCTCATATTTGTTCTTAGATGTTGACGAATGCTCAACCAATGCTCATACTTGTCACTCTAACGCGTCTTGTACAAACACAGTTGGCAACTACACTTGTTCATGTAAAAGTGGTTTTGTAGGAGATGGCAGAAATTGTAACGGTTCGTTTCTATTAAAGAAAGTATCGTGTGAACTTTTTCAGAACAAAAAATTGTTATGAAGATCTGTTTAAAAAAATCCTGGGATTGCTTTGTTTTTCCCATGTGTCCTTTGGTAATTTTCGTGTTGGTTTTAATGCTTGTAAGGTATTCCTTTATTCAATGTTGATTTAGTACCTTATTTTGTAGAAACATGTTCTGTTCTTTCCTTTATTGATTTTCTTGACGAATACATGTTGTTTTTTAATTGACATGATGTTGAAAACTTTATTTTGTTAATTCCTGTTATAGAATTCGTAATTGTGATATCATTTTAAATGTATTTCATATTTGTTTTTAGATGTTGAGGAATGCTTACTCAATGCTCATACTTGTCACTCAAACGCCTCTTGTACAAACACAGTTGGCAACTACACTTGTTCATGTAATAGTGGTTTTGTAGGAGATGGCAGAAATTGTACAGGTTTGTATCTACTCTTACAAAATGTCACGTGTACAATTGAAAAAGAAAAATGAGTTATGAACTTCTGTTTAAAACATCATGGAATTGTTTCGTATTGGCCATGTGTCCTTTGTTAATTTTCGTCTTTTTTAAATGCATATAAGGTATTCCTATATATAAACTTGGGATTATACCTTATTTTCTGGAAAATATCATGTTCTTTATATACTGAATCTTCTAGGCAATTTATGCTGGTTTTAAATTGCGATGATATTAAAAACCTAATTTTGTATGTTTTTTTTATAGAGTTATGAGAAGTTTGTTTCTTAATTACAGTGGCAATTTTTAAGTGTATCTCATATTTGTTCTTAGATGTTGACGAATGCTCAACCAATGCTCATACTTGTCACTCTAACGCGTCTTGTACAAACACAGTTGGCAACTACACTTGTTCATGTAAAAGTGGTTTTCTAGGAGATGGCAGAAATTGTAACGGTTCGTTTCTATTAAAGAAAGTATCGTGTGAACTCTTTCAGAACAAAAAATTGTTATGAAGATATGTTTAAAAAAATCCTGGGATTGCTTTGTTTTTCCCATGTGTCCTTTGGTAATTTTCGTGTTGGTTTTAATGCTTGTAAGGTATTTCTTTATTCAATGTTGATTTTGTACCTTATTTTGTAGAAACATGTTCTGTTCTTTCCTTTATTGATTTTCTTGACGAATACATGTTGTTTTTTAATTGACATGATGTTGAAAACTCTATTTTGTTAATTCCTGTTATAGAATTCGTAATTGTGATAACATTTTAAATGTATTTCATATTTGTTTTTAGATGTTGACGAATGCTCAACCAATGCTCATACTTGTCACTCAAACGCGTCTTGTACAAACACAGTTGGCAACTACACTTGTTCATGTAATAGTGGTTTTGTAGGAGATGGCAGAAATTGTAACGGTTCGTTTCTATTAACGAAAGTATCGTGTGAACTCTTTCAGAACAAAAAATTGTTTTGAAGATATGTTTAAAAAAATCCTGGGATTGCTTTGTTTTTCCCGTGTGTCCTTTGGTAATTTTCGTTATGGTTTTAATGCTTGTAAGGTATTCCTTTATTCAATGTTGATTTTGTACCTTATTTTGTAGAAACATGTTCTGTTCTTTCCTTTATTGATTTTCTTGACGAATACATGTTGTTTTTTAATTGACATGATGTTGAAAACTTTATTTTGTTAATTCCTGTTATAGAATTCGTAATTGTGATATCATTTTGAATGTATTTCATATTTGTTTTTAGATGTTGAGGAATGCTTACTCAATGCTCATACTTGTCACTCAAACGCCTCTTGTACAAACACAGTTGGCAACTACACTTGTTCATGTAATAGTGGTTTTGTAGGAGATGGCAGAAATTGTAACGGTTCGTTTCTATTAAAGAAAGTTTCGTGTGAACTCTTTCAGAACAAAAAATTGTTATGAAGATCTGTTTAAAATTATCCTGGGATCGCTTTGTTTTTGCCATGTGTCCTTTGGTAATTTTCGTGTTGGTTTTAATGCTTGTAAGGTATTCCTTTATTTAATGTTGATCTTGTTCCTTATTTTATAGAAACATGTTCTGTTCTTTCCTTTACTGACTCTGCTGACGAATACATGTTGTTTTTTAATTGACATGATGTTGAAAACTTTATTTTGTTAATTTCTGTTATAGAGTTCGTAATTGTGATATCATTTTAACTGTATTTCATATTTTTTTTTAGATGTTGAGGAATGCTTACTCAATGCTCATACTTGTCACTCAAACGCCTCTTGTACAAACACAGTTGGCAACTACACTTGTTCATGTAATAGTGGTTTTGTAGGAGATGGCAGAAATTGTACAGGTTTGTATCTACTCTTACAAAATTTGACATGTACAATTAAAGAACAAAAACGATTTATGAACGTCTGTTTAAAAAATCATGGCATTGTTTCGTCTTGGCCATGTGTCCTTTGTTAATTTTTGTCTTTTTTTAAATGCAAGTAAGGTATTACTATATATAAGCTTGGGATTATACCTTATTTTCTGGAAAATATCATGTTCTTTATATACTGAATCTCCTAGGCAATTTATGCTGGTTTTAAATTGCGATGATATTAAAAACCTAATTTTGTATGTTTTTTATAGAGTTATGAGAAGTTTGTTTCTCAATTACAGTGGCAATTTTTAAGTGTATCTCATATTTGTTCTTAGATGTTGACGAATGCTCAACCAATGCTCATACTTGTCACTCTAACACGTCTTGTACAAACACAGTTGGCAACTACACTTGTTCATGTAAAAGTGGTTTTGTAGGAGATGGCAGAAATTGTAACGGTTCGTTTCTATTAAAGAAAGTATCGTGTGAACTCTTTCAGAACAAAAAATTGTTATGAAGCCTGTTTAAAAAAATCCTAGGATAGCTTTGTTTTTCCCATGTGTCCTTTGGTAATTTTCGTGTTGGTTTTGATGCTTGTAAGGTATTTCTTTATTCAATGTTGATTTTGTACCTTATTTTGTAGAAACTGTTCTGTTCTTTCCTTTATTGATTCTCTTGACGAATACATGTTGTTTTTTAATTGACATGATGTTGAAAACTTTATTTTGTTAATTCCTGTTATAGAATTCGTAATTGTGATATCATTTTAAATGTATTTCATATTTTTTCTTAGATGTTGACGAATGCTCAACCAATGCGCATTCTTGTCACTCAAACTCGTCTTGTACAAACACAGTTGGCAACTACACTTGTTCATGTAATAGTGGTTTTGTAGGAGATGGCAGACATTGTACAGGTTTGTATCTACTCTTACAAAATGTGACGTGTACAGTTAAAAAACAAAAACGAGCTATGAACGTTTGTTTAAAAAATCATGGAATTGTTTCGTTTTGGCCATGTGTCCTTTGTTAATTTTTGTCTTTTTTAAATGCATGTAAGGTATTCCTATATTTAAAGTTGGGATTATAGCTTATTTGATGGAAAAAAACATGTTCTTTCTATACTTATTCTCCTAGGCAATTTATGCTTGTTTTTAATTTAGATGATATTAAAAACCTAATTTTGTATATTTTTGTTAAAGAGTTCAGAAAAGTTATTTTCTTAATTACAGTGGCAATTTTTAAGTGTATCTGATATTTGTTCTTAGATGTTGAGGAATGCTTACTCAATGCTCATACTTGTCACTCAAACGCCTCTTGTACAAACACAGTTGGCAACTACACTTGTTCATGTAATAGTGGTTTTGTAGGAGATGGCAGAAATTGTAACGGTTCGTTTCTATTAAAGAAAGTATCGTGTGAACTCTTTCAGAACAAAAAATTGTTATGAAGATCTGTTTAAAATGATCCTGAGATCGCTTTGTTTTTCCCATGTGTCCTTTGGTAATTTTCGTGTTGGTTTTAATGCTTGTAAGGTATTCCTTTATTTAATGTTGATCTTGTTCCTAATTTTGTAGAAACATGTTCTGTTCTTTCCTTTATTGATTTTCTTGACGAATACATGTTGTTTTTTAATTGACATGATGTTGAAAACTTTATTTTGTCAATTCCTGTTATAGAATTCGTAATTGTGATATCATTTTAAATGTATTTCATATTTGTTTTTAGATGTTGACGAATGCTCAACCAATGCGCATTCTTGTCACTCAAACTCGTCTTGTACAAACACAGTTGGCAACTACACTTGTTCATGTAACAGTGGTTTTGTAGGAGATGGGAGAAATTGTACAGGTTTGTATCTACTCTTACAAAATGTGACATGTACAATTAAAAAACAAAAACGATTTATGAACGTCTGTTTAAAAAATCATGGCATTGTTTCGTCTTGGCCATGTGTCCTTTGTTAATTTTTGTCTTTTTTTAAATGCAAGTAAGGTATTACTATATATAAGCTTGGGATTATACCTTATTTTCTGGAAAATATCATGTTCTTTATATACTGAATCTCCTAGGCAATTTATGCTGGTTTTAAATTGCGATGATATTAAAAACCTAATTTTGTATGTTTTTTTATAGAGTTATGAAAAGTTTGTTTCTTAATTACAGTGGCAATTTTTAAGTGTATCTCATATTTGTTCTTAGATGTTGACGAATGCTCAACCAATGCGCATTCTTGTCACTCAAACGCGTCTTGTACAAACACAGTTGGCAACTACACTTGTTCATGTAAAAGTGGTTTTGTAGGAGATGGCAGAAATTGTAACGGTTCGTTTCTATTAAAGAAAGTATCGTGTGAACTCTTTCAGAACAAAAAATTGTTATGAAGATATTTTTAAAAAAGTCCTGGGATTGCTTTGTTTTTCGCATGTGTCCTTTCGTAATTTTCGTGTTGGTTTTAATGCTTGTAAGGTATTTCTTTATTCAATGTTGATATTGTACCTTATTTTGTAGAAACGTGTTTTGTTCTTTCCTTTATTGATTTTGTTGACGAATACATGTTGTTTTTTAATCGACATGATGTTGAAAACTTTATTTTGTTATTTCCTGTTATAGAATTCGTAATTGTGATATCATTTTAAATGTATTTCATATTTGTTTTTAGATGTTGAGGAATGCTTACTCAATGCTCATACTTGTCACTCAAACGCCTCTTGTACAAACACAGTTGGCAACTACACTTGTTCATGTAATAGTGGTTTTGTAGGAGATGGCAGAAATTGTAACGGTTCGTTTCTATTAAAGAAAGTATCGTGTGAACTCTTTCAGAACAAAAAATTGTTATGAAGATCTGTTTAAAAAAATCCTGGGATTGCTTTGTTTTTCCCACGTGTCCTTCGGTAATTTTCGTGTTGGTTTTAATGCTTGTAAGGTATTCCTTTATTCAATGTTGATTTTGTATCTTATTTTGTAGAAACATGTTCTGTTCTTTCCTTTATTGATTCTCTTGACGAATACATGTTGTTTTTTAATTGACATTATGTTGGAGACTTTATTTTGTTAATTCCTGTTATAGATTTCGTGATTGTGATATCATTTCAAATGTATTTCATATTTGTTTTTAGTTGTTGACGAATGCTTACTCAATGCTCACACTTGTCACTCAAACGCTTCTTGTACAAACACAGTTGGCAACTACACTTGTTCATGTAATAGTGGTTTTGTAGGAGATGGCAGAAATTGTAAAGGTTCGTTTCTATGAAGCAAAGTATTGTGTGAACTCTTTCAGAACAAAAAAAGTAATGGACATTTGTTTGAAAAAAGTCCTGGAAATGCTTTGTTTAGCTCATCCGTCCTTTGTTTGTTTTCCTCTTAGGTAAATGAATGTAAGGTATTGTTATATTTAAATTCGAAAATGTACCATCTTTTCAAGAAACATCTTATATTAATTTCTATTTTCAGTCTTCCAAAAGGATATGCTGTTCTTTTATCGACATTGTATTGAAAAGTTTATTGTGTACATTTCTGTTATAAATTTTGAAAAGATAGTTTTTTAATTACATTGTCATTTTAAAGGTATTTCATGTTGGTTTTTAGATGTTGAGGAATGCTTACTCAATGCTCATACTTGTCACTCAAACGCCTCTTGTACAAACACAGTTGGCAACTACACTTGTTCATGTAATAGTGGTTTTGTAGGAGATGGCAGAAATTGTAACGGTTCGTTTCTATTAAAGAAAGTATCGTGTGAACTCTTTCAGAACAAAAAATTGTTATGAAGATCTGTTTAAAAAAATCCTGGGATTGCTTTGTTTTTCCCATGTTTCCTTCTGGTAATTTTCGTATTGGTTTTAATGCTTCTAAGGTATTTCTTTATTCAATGTTGATCTCGTACCTTATTTTGTAGAAACATGTTCTGTTCTTTTCTTCACTGACTCTCCTGACGAATACATGTTGTTTTTTAATTGACATGATGTTGAAAACTTTATTTTGTTAATTCCGGTTATAGAATTCGTAATTGTGATATCATTTTAAATGTATTTCTTATTTGTTTTTAGATGTTGAGGAATGCTTACTCAATGCTCATACTTGTCACTCTAACGCCTCTTGTACAAACACAGTTGGCAACTACACTTGTTCATGTAATAGTGGTTTTGTAGGAGATGGCAGAAATTGTAAAGGTTCGTTTCTATGAAGCAAAGTATCGTGTGAACTCTTTCCGAACAAAAAATTGTTATGAACATCTGTTTAAAAAAATCCTGGGATTGCTTTGTTTAGCTCATCCGTCCTTTGTTTGTTTTCCTCTTAGGTAAATGAATGTAAGGTATTGTTATATTTAAATTCGAAAATGTACCATCTTTTCAAGAAACATCTTATATTAATTTCTATTTTCAGTCTTCCAAAAGGATATGCTGTTTTTTATCCACATTGTATTGAAATGTTTATTGTGTACATTTCTGTTATAAATTTTGAAAAGATAGTTTTTTAATTACATTGTCATTTTAAATGTATTTCATATTTGTTTTTAGATGTTGACGAATGCTCAACTAATGCTCATACTTGTCACTCAAACGCCTCTTGTACAAACACAGTTGGCAACTACACTTGTTCATGTAATAGTGGTTTTGTAGGAGATGGCAGAAATTGTAACGGTTCGTTTCTATTAAAGAAAGTATCGTGTGAACTCTTTCAGAACAAAAAATTGTTATGAAGATCTGTTTAAAAAAATCCTGTGATTGCTTTGTTTTTCCCATGTGTCCTTTGGTAATTTTCGTGTTGGATTTAATGCTTGTAAGGTATTCCTTTATTCAATGTTGATTTTGTACCTTATTTTGTAGAAACATGTTCTGTTCTTTCCTTTATTGATTCTCTTGACAAATACATGTTGTTTTTTAATTGACATGATGTTGAAAACTTTATTTTGTTAATTCCTGTTATAGAATTCGTAATTGTGATATCATTTTAAATGTATTTCATATTTGTTTTTAGATGTTGAGGAATGCTTACTCAATGCTCATACTTGTCACTCAAACGCGTCTTGTACAAACACAGTTGGCAACTACACTTGTTCATGTAATAGTGGTTTTGTAGGAGATGGCAGAAATTGTAAAGGTTCGTTTCTATGAAGCAAAGTATCGTGTGAACTCTTTCCGAACACAAAAATAATTGACATTTGTTTGAAAAAAGTCCTTGAATTGCTTTGTTTAGCCCATTTGTCTTTTGTTTGTTTTCGTCTCAGGTTAAATACATGTAAGTTATTGCTGTATTTAAAGTTGATAATTTACCATATTTTCAAGAAGCAACCTATGTTAATTTCTATTTTCATTCTCCTTAAGAGCATATGCTGTTTTTTATTGACATGCTATCGAATAGTTTTTATGTATATTTCTGTTATAGAGTTCAGAAAAGTTAGTTTCTTAATTACAGTGGCAATTTTTAAGTGTATCTCATATTTGTTCTTAGATGTTGACGAATGCTCAACCAATGCGCATTCTTGTCACTCAAACTCGTCTTGTACAAACACAGTTGGCAACTACACTTGTTCATGTAATAATGGTTTTTCAGGAGATGGCAGAAATTGTACAGGTTTGTATCTATTTTAAGAAAATATCAGGTGTACCATTTCGTAACAAAATTAAAGTTGGAATACGTTTGCACATTTACACGTTAAGAAAATTGGTACTTGAGAGCTTCCTCTGCTGAAAGATCAGTTGATTAGTACCGAAATAGCTTCCAGTTTGGATTTTCGTGACTAAGCTAATTTCAAAAAGAGTCTAGATGTTTAATAATTTGTTTGTTTTCAATTCACTTTAGAAGTTAACCGTAAAATTCCTATGGCCTTTTCTTTTTATTCAGAGAAAATACTTGCTTAATTGCTTTTATTTTTGCAAAACAACAGATGTCGATGAATGTGCTGCTGAGAATGGCCGTTGTGACACTAATGCTGTTTGTCAGAATAACATCGGATCCTTTGTTTGTACTTGCAATAGTGGATTCCAGGGCAATGGACAAGTATGCAATGGTGAGTATTATGGTAGTTTTAATTTTTCTTGAAATGAATGTCTGCAATTCCAGTTTCTTAGATATGTACTAAACAATACATTAGCCAAGCCTGTTTCCACCTGATACTCAATTGTTGCTAAGCTGGATTAGATTATCATAATTAAAGTGCCAGAATTGATGACATTATTTATCTTCTATATCTGGCCCCTTTTTTCGTTTTATTGTCCAACAATATATTGCAACTAATAATTATTTTTTTTCATTGTGACCAACTATTACGTTCAATTTTTCTTTCTAATAGCCTTTTTGCATCCCTTATTTGTTGATTAAATCATTTTTATCTTCTCTAGAATACTCCAGACTTTTGCTTTGAAACTTTGCATCAATTGTCTTTTTAAATTTCATTTTACAATTATATGCCAACTATTTTAATTTCTAGTTTCTTATTTTTGTGTTTGTTTTTGTGCGGGACCTATGCCAATTATAAACCGTATTATACTTGCTTACCTAAGATCAAAGATCACACTTATTGAGTAAAAGGCGTGTTTTAGTTTCTTTTGTGACATATGCTGTTTTGTATTGTGTATTCATATTAAAAATCCGATATCGCCAACAACGTTTACTTTTGCGTCAACTTTTTTCAGTTTGAATCAATCAATTGATTGAATAGTCGATCCAGTTTTTCGTTCATATTTCTTCATATTTGCTGTTCATATTTTGTGATTAAAATAGAGATTGATAATTAGTTAAATACAATCTTTTTTTTATCTGTCTTTTTGTTTGAATTGAATTGTCATTCTTGATCATCCTGTACTTTTGCAGCTTGTTTTTAACTAGCGTCGTTTCGTTTCAAATCGCTTGGCTGACTACCACTGAACCTGTTGTCTTCGATGAAACTTTTTCTGATAATTCATTTTCAGTGTTCTAAATTCAGCTTCCTTTACTAGTATAGTTTTTTTACCGGCCTATTTTTACAATTATCTAGTCTTTTTACAGCCTTAAAGTCAGTATTTAAGTTTTTGTTGTCCTCCTAGTTGATATTACATTGTAAAAGTGAGATTAAACTCAAAATGTATTTCATTGAACTTTTAACCTTTGAATTTATTCTTTACTTTTGAGCTTGTCATTGAACTTTTTCTTCTGCTTCTAAATGTTAATGTTAATTGACTGTTTTTTTCCTTTTTGTTTTCCATTTTGTATTGCGTTTTACATTCTGTTTCGTCTTAATCCTGAAATTTCATGCAGACACCAATGAATGCCTAAGCTATCAGCTGCATGGATGTGAACATAACTGTACAAACACTGCTGGTAGTTACCAGTGCTCCTGTCTTGCTGGATATCGTTTGACCAATAATACAAATTGTACTGATATCAATGAATGCAGCGAAAATACTCACAGCTGTCATGCGAAAGCAACTTGCCTTAACAGCATTGGCTCATTTTCCTGCTCTTGCAACTATGGGTACACTGGAAATGGCACATACTGCAAAGGTATGAGCACGTATGGCATTCTTAAACGTTTCCAAATTTTCCAGGCTAGCTGCTCAGATATTAAACAACCAGGGAGTCATTTAAACTTTTTTATACGGGGAGGTTAATCTGCAATTATCAAAAGCCTAAAATAATGGAAAACAAATTTTACAGACGTTAAATTTATCAGCTAAAAATTTTTGATAAAGCGCAATATAATCAAAATACTAAATTTTGTTGTTGAGCGCGCAAGATACCACTATTCTTAGCAATTTAGACTGTTTCCTATAATAATCAGCTAAAACATATCTGTTCGTATATTCCTGTTTTGATATTTTTATCTGTTCATTGGACCCATAAGTATCAAAAGGTATAATATCAAATAAAATAATCTAAAAGTACCCCCCTTAAATCACAGGACATATGCTTTGATAGCTTATTCGACTATCGCTCAAACTTGTCCTCCCTCAATTTTTGTTAGATTCCTTAATTTACGAAAAGATATTGTTTATGAAAGTATTGATTAGGTAATTTTAAAAAGCACCACTTTATTAGTCAGCCATTTCCTGGATACCTAATAAAATGTATCATGTGATCTGGTAAAGAGATTTTTGAAGCCCTTTTAACACCTCAACTCTTAGATACAAAGCCTAGTCGCCAGCAAATCAAGGCCATAATTGCAGTTCATTTAAAAACAGCATTTTAAATGCCTTTATTTTAAATGCCTTTATATGTATCTGCCAAAAAGTCATATCTTTGATTTGAAATGCAAGAAAAATTTGATACTACTATTAATTGTTTTCTATAAACAGTGTTATTTTGATATGAATCTATATGCATAGGAAAAATCATAGGAATTCATACATGTTTCGGAGAAGACACGATAAAAGAGTTACCACGATAAACAATGAATAAAGCGTCAAGGCTGAATATTTGATCATCTGAAGCAGATTAAAACAAGACAAACAAAGAAATTGCATTATTCTCAGAATATGATGCAAACCTGTCCCAAAAAATTTTACACCAGACCAAACTTTACTTCGCAAATTCATTGTAACAGAAACTTTGGAATTTTGAGCCAAAGCTAGGATAAATGTTAAATTATAATCACTTTAGTAGCTTAAATTTTCCAACCCAGATAATGAATTTGCAATGAAACCATACTTGATTATTGCAGATGCGACATTACGAAGTAGCATATAAAGATTATTATTCCCAATGAAGATTTAGATAAACCAGAATTCTGATTTTGACGATGAAAGTTGTTGATATTTTGCAGAGGATCGTTTGTTTGTCTTCGACAAATCGCGGCTCCTTGTGGCAGATGACCGACGGGAATATTTAAATGTTCCATCTGGTATCCCTATAGGCAACCAAATTTACAAAAATGTTCATGTGAGTACCTCTAAGAACATTTTCATTTTTCATTTTTATTTTTCATTTTCATTTTAAATTACTTCTCCATGAATACCCCTTCAGCTAGTTCTAAAAATACAAAACATAAACTGCTAATAATTAGGGTACAAGTTCTATTAATTGATAGGTTACGTATAGCTTTTAAATAAAATATAAAATATCAAAAGCTAGGTCGCAGCTGGTCTTCCAGGGGGTCGTGTTTTAGTTGCCTTTCAGCTCATCAAATGTGTTTTTAATTGTTTTTTTTAATTGGCATATGGTAGGAAGCTCCCTGATAGTTATGGGGATTTCATTCCACACCTTAATTGCTGAATAGAAAAATCCTTTTTGGTATGCTCTAGATTATACTTCGGGATCTGAAGATCTCTGCAGAATCGCGTGTTATAACTGGAGTATTGGGATCTTTGTTCAAATTTGTTCCATAGATTTTCTGGGCTGAGTCTGTTCATGATCTTAGGCCATAACTGCACGATCAAATGTGATAAGTTGCTCGTTATTAAGAAACTTATTTGATCATCCATCTTTTATCGTGGACCTAGCTATCATGAAGATGGCCCTGTTTTCAAGAAATTGAAGGGATTCCTTTCTCCGTGTAACCCCTCCTGCCGAATTTTGGAAAACTTGTCAAAATGTGCCGCTTCTTAAGTTTAGATGAGATTTAACATAAAAAAACGTGTGAAATTAGATTGGTAACATAATTTCTTGTTGAAAATAAATGAAAATCTTATGACGAAACGAAAAAAGTTCCAGAGTTTCCACCATTCTTTGGTGGTGGAATGATAAAAGCTAGATTTTCATTTATTTTTAACAAGAAATTATGTTACCAATCTAATTGCACACGTAAAGCGTTTACCTAAAGTGAGATTGAGAAAATGCTTTTTTCAAATTATCAGCAAAATCATGGAGCACTATAAAAATAAAAAATTTCCCTAATTTTAGTTGCTAACCAGTCAGTACAACTTTAATAAAAGATTGAATTGTTTTATCAAACTTAAACAAAGCAACTGAAACAGATAAAATATCCCTTTTTTTGATGCAACCAGAACTCAAATTATTAAACGGTTTTTTAGGTATGCACTAATGGATTTTTTACGTTCCAATCGGCATATTGCACCTGGAATCCAAACTTCATTCCCGGTCTGGTGATTTTCCCTGCTTTTTGGCATGATATTGACTTTAGAGGAGGTAATGGTGGATTCTCAGCTACAAAACATGAAAGCAGTCAAAATGATGATCTCACAGTGAAGCTTTTCAACCAAACTAACACCTATTTGCAGAAATACGCCAATGTGACCAATTTCGCTGCAACTACTGTTCTTCTTGGAACCTGGCTTAAGGGAACCCCATATCCATACTATAACTATCTGGAAACGGACCAGGTGATTTTTTCATGCATTTTTGCTTTTTGAAGTTGATTTCAAATCTGAACTGTTCGTTGACCAGCTAATTTTTTCACAGCTTTATAATATTAGAGCCTGAGTATTTTTGTAAGTGAACGTTTTTTGACTGGATGCATTTTAAATAAAAGCGTATTTTACTTTTGGTCAACCTCTTTTGTCATTGCATGTAACCCGATCAATTTATGCATTTCTATACATTTTTGAAGTCATAGAAGTGAAAAATTATTCGCTGCCAGGCTTTTGATGCAAGTGTCGTATCTCAATGATGTACATCGCCATTTTACATCAATTAATTTTCAACGATCTGTTCCAGAGATGGGGTTTTTGCCTTCTTTTGTACCCATGTTATTAGTAAAATCCATCACTGTTTTATCTCATTGTGGTTTTAGCATGTCACTTTTCAAATAAATATTGCTACCGATGGAAAAACAACTCACATATCGTATGTTTACGACGACGAGGGAATGTTGTGGTCACAGCAGTGGATCAGGCCAAAATATGGATATGCCTATCCTACTGTAAATGGTCGGGCACTAAAATCGGAAACTCTAAATGTGCCAGGAAATCCAAGCACTTATAGATTCGACAGCGTCATTGGTAACACAAACTACAAAGGCAGGTGGTCGTGGAAAGTAGCTGAAAATCTAGATAACAATGCTGCACAGTGCTATAATTGGTACAATAAGCAACCAAGTGAAGGATATATCAGCGTAATAAGAAACCATGCTAGAACTGATTGCCCCTGCTTATTGATGCAAGCACGTTTCGACAGAAGATTTAGGCGCTCGTCGTTTTCTTCAAGCATGGAATGCTATCAAGATCGAGCGACGTTCGTCTTTGTGGGTACATCTGTATCTTTCTACACAAAATGCTGCTATGAAAGTCGTGATGGATCTCTTATCAATGATGTTAATAACGCAGAAATGGGAACTAATACTCAGAAACACATAACACAAGCTTACAATTGGCTCAATGTTTTATTCTCCCGGTCAATCAGAAGATCTGCTAGGAGGCAAGCCATGCAAGACGATGAAAGCGCCTTTGAGTACTGTTGTCAAAGAACATCTTTATGCAATCTCTACATAGAGAAGAGGCCAGTTCCAACTTGCTTTTGGTATACACCGCCAACCATGGGTAGGTTTAAACTCCTGGAATTTATGAAGATGAAATTGTATATTTTCGCAATATCTTTATATTTTCTTTGTTGTAATATTCATGCGAGATCTTTGTATTTCAGCCTGGACCGGTGGTGATCCACACATAAGAACGCTTGATGGGTATACGTACACATTTAATGGCATTGGTGACTACAATTTGCTGACGGCCGTGACAAACACCAGTCAGTTCTTTCTACACTCGAGAATGAGCAAAGCAACTGTGAACCCCAATTCAACAATTGCAGAATCCAGAGCTACGGTTTTCTCAGCCTTTGCTCTAAAAACTGATCAAGGGCCTTTGGTCGAATTATATTTGAACGTTTCAAGTAAGGATTTCGTTCGACTTTATGCTGTTTTAATATATTTGATAATATGTATATATATTTATGTATATATATTTATATATATATAAAGGTTCATCTATGCTTAATCAACAATTAGTCTATTTGACTGATATGCTATTAATGTGCCTTATTTGTAAGCCATATGACACATCTTCATGATAAATTCCTATCTTGGTCTTATGTTACTTTTTCTTAAGAGAGAGCTCATAGTCATAGTCAAAGACAAATGATAAGAAACACTTTCTTGAAGTTCCGCGACTTCGGTAAAAATGCTTTTGTAACCATTTTCAATTTTTCTTTTACCTTTAGCCGGAGAAGTTACCTTGCTTGTCGGCAAACAACCTTATTCAACAACCTACTTCAATACAACTCAAAGTATAAACGATACAGATATTACATGGAACGTCGGCAACAAAACTCAATTTTCTGTCTTCTATGAAACGGGTGTTGGTGCGGTTATCGACGTTTTTAAAAGTCAGCTCACCATTCAAGTGACGTCATCTGTTGAGTTTGTAAATAAAACTGTTGGACTTCTTGGTGTTCAAAACGGTGATACAAGTGACGACCTCACCAGGCCCAATGGATCGTCAATTTCTCTTAATTCCACTCAGCAGACAATTTACTTTGAATTTGGCTTACTTTGTAAGTATAAATGTGTTTATTTCAGCATATATTATAATTTCTTTGTTTGAAATCAAACCTGAAAATCATGCTGAAACTGATCTTCAAGACGATGTTTCTATTCGCAAACTTACTTTATTCTTCAAGAACCTTCATTTACGATTGCCCACTCTACATCAGTAAAAATGTCTAGAAATTTGTCCAAGGAGGTTTCAGTAAGACAAAAGTGCCACTTTATCATATTTACACCAATAGAATCATATTCAGTAAGAAAATTTCAAGAAAGCCATTAGATATTCTTAATTCAAAGGAAAGTTTGTTTTCAATAATATCTTACCTTTTCCCACAGGGAATGTCACAGGAAATGCATCACTATTTTCTAATCACGACACAGAGTATGACCCAAATTTTGTACCTCAGTTCTACGATACCATCAACGATTTATTTGGCAACAACACACAGCTTAGAAGTGACGCAGAGGCTGTTTGTGGATCCACAAATTTTCAATGCTTGTTCGATTATGCTTTGACAGCTGACGGCAATGCTGTGCAACAAGCGCAGTCATCTTTGCAAGATTTCCAGACTGAACAAAATACTCTAAGTGAGTCACATCTTCCTTGTTTTGGATCTTTTGAACAACTTGCCATTAGAAAAAGAAATGTTTGGCACATGCTTTCTGAATATCAAGTAGTTTATCACCTGAAGCGTTGGTGACAAAGAAATTTTATTTGTTCAAATTTTATTTACTAATTTTAGTAGTAAAAAACGAATGATTCTTATCAGAGTGTGTTTGGTTTTTTTAGACTTCAAATAATGTGAATGATCTTTTTCTATGATCATAGTAAGGTTGTATGAAAAAATTAGGTTGTTTGACTTACGTGCTCCCAAAACTTTCCCTGAGCATTAGTGATTTCTTTTCCTGATTGTTTGCAATTTTAGACACACGTGATTACTGGTCATTTGCATTTTCAGTTTAGATATTAGAGCACAGTAAATCGTATTTCTGCAGCAATTGGTTTCTGTATTCTGTATTTGGAAATTTTCTGCCCGAAACTTTTTCTTTTTGGGCTCCTATCTTTTCACTTACCCTATGTATGCTTTGCTTCGCAGATACCTACCCGCCGAAAGTAACTGGACCAACCACTTTGATTGTCACTTACCAAGAGCAGTATAGTTTCCAAATCGTAGCATCAAGCAATACTTCCTCGAATCTCACCTATGCTGTGGAGACGAATGGTACAAATGTCGAAGTAGATTCGCTTTCTGGGAACGTCATTTGGAACATTAATAGCACAGACTTCCGCCTTAAATTCTTGGTAACAGATTCTAACAACAACACTGCCGCTCTGTCCCCAACTGTAACCCTATGTTATTGCCTCAACAATGCTTCATGTAATTCATCTATGAGCAATGAGATCACGCAACCGTTTAATAACCTGCTTACCTATGCTGCATGTACATGTACTTCCGGTTTTACGGGAGCATTTTGTCAAGAATCTATTACCTACTGTTTAGAAGATCCATGTTTTGAGGGAGTCAACTGCACGAACAACGTAACTACCAGATCTGCTGTGTGCGACTCCTGTCCAACTGGTTATGAGGGTGATGGAAGAAAATGTTTCGGTATTAATTTTTTCTAAATCTATTCATGCATTTTTCGGACAGGTAATGACTAATTAGACAGTCAAAGGCATGAACGGAAACATTTATGTGAGTCCAGATCAATATTAACGGGACACTCAAACACGTCAAGAAAGGAAGATACTGTTTAAGGATGCTTGTATGAGTTGTGATTAATCTACAAAGCTTCTTCTTTGGTGTACCTTCAGTAGAAACTGCAAAGAAAATGAAGCCGTGACTTTAAAATTGCACAAAAAGCGAACAAATTGCATGCTAAAGTACTTTTCGTTTGACACTTCTAAGGGTATGAAAAACTGGGTAATATCGAATAATAAAAGTGGAAATTTATCTTTGGCGAAACAAAAAACGAAATCCGTGTAACTCACTCTCTTTTTCTTCTACGAGATAGAGTCTTCTCTCAAGAACCATAATTCAATTTTTTATTATGATTTAATCCCCCGTAACTAACTTCATTTCAGATTTCGACGAATGTGTCAACGGAACCCATCAATGCAACCAGATCTGTAGCAACACACTAGGAGGGTACAACTGTTCCTGTTCATCTGGTTACGAGCCTTTGAATGCGACATACTGTATAGATATCAACGAGTGCACTGGAGCGGCTCACAATTGCAGTTCGTACGCCACATGTATAAATACTCCAGGGTTATATAACTGCTCTTGTAACCAGGGTTTCACTGGAAACGGGACATTCTGCCAAGGTAACCCGTTCTTTCCTTATTTCAATCACATAACTTCTACCTTTAAGTCCCTAAAAACGGGGAATGAGAGAACTGTGGGCTTGTATATAATTTCAAGAAAACGTCTATACAAGAAGAGAGGTGTTGTGAATTCTTGAAACAAGTATGATTCTCAGATAACTGTCTTACCACTGGATTTTTTGCAAGGAATTTATTAGTGATGACACACTGGAAGATTGGTAGCAAAAACTTCCCGGTTTAAATTGCCGGTTTAAATTGCCGCTCTAAATTCAAGGGAAAAGACCGCAAACGTGATGAGCGTGAAGGTCCTTACGAGAAAGGAGTTAGATCGAAAAAATTTTGACAAATCAGTAAGAAGGAAAGCCAAATGAAAATGTTTTGTTTCATGAAAATCCTAATTATACCATCTAGGTGCAAATTTTCTAAAAGATGACAAAATGTCAGTGTGAGTGGTTTGCATTTTGAATCACTTTCTTATGACTTATTTTTTTAGATTTTGATGAATGTGCCTCTAGTAGCACAAACAACTGCCAGCAACTTTGTAACAACACAATTGGAGGGTATAATTGCTCCTGTATGAATGGATTTATCCCTGCTAACTCAACCCATTGTGAAGACATTGATGAATGTGCCTCTAGTAGCACAAACAACTGCCAGCAACTATGTAACAACACAATCGGAGGGTATAATTGCTCCTGTGTGAATGGATTTATCCCTGCTAACTCAACCCATTGTGAAGACATTGATGAATGTGCCTCTAGTAGCACAAACAACTGCCAGCAACTATGTAACAACACAATCGGAGGGTATAATTGCTCCTGTGTGAATGGATTTATCCCTGCTAACTCAACCCATTGTGAAGACATTGATGAATGTGCCTCTAGTAGCACAAACAACTGCCAGCAACTTTGTAACAACAAAATTGGAGGGTATAATTGCTCCTGTATGAATGGATTTATCCCTGCTAACTCAACCCATTGTGAAGACATTGATGAATGTGCCTCTAGTAGCACAAACAACTGCCAGCAACTATGTAACAACACAATCGGAGGGTATAATTGCTCCTGTATGAATGGATTTATCCCTGCTAACTCAACCCATTGTGAAGACATTGATGAATGTGCCTCTAGTAGCACAAACAACTGCCAGCAACTATGTAACAACACAATTGGAGGCTACAATTGTTCCTGTTTCGATGGATTCACGTCAATAAATACAACACATTGCCAAGTTTCAATATCAAGCTCCTTAACATCCATTGTTGAAGTGGTAACATCTAGTTTTTCTGAAACTCCATCATCAACACAAATCACAAGTTCTTTTGCTGACGTGTTTACACCAAGTTCTTCTGTGGATCAGTCATCATCACAAATCACAAGTTCTTTTGCTTACGTGTTTACACCAAGTTCTTCTGTGGATCAGTCATCAACACAAATCACAAGTTCTTTTGCTGACGTGTTTACACCAAGTTCTTCTGTGGATCAGTCATCAACACTAATCACAAGTTCTTTTGCTGACGTGTTTACACCAAGTTCTTCTGTGGATCAGTCATCAACACAAATCACAAGTTCTGTTGCTGACGTGTTTACACCAAGTTCTTCTGTGGATCAGTCATCAACACAAATCACAAGTGCTTTTGCTGACGTGTTTACATCAAGTTCTTCTGTGGATCAGTCATCAACACTAATCACAAGTTCTTTTGCTGACGTGTTTACACCAAGTTCTTCTGTGCATCAGTCAACAACACTAATCACAAGTTCTTTTGCTGACGTGTTTACAACAAGTTCTTCTGTGGATCAGTCATCAACACTAATCACAAGTTCTTTTGCTGACGTGTTTACACCAAGTTCTTCTGTGGATCAGTCATCAACACAAATCACAAGTTCTTTTGCTGACGTGTTTATACCTAGTTCTTCTGTGGATCAGTCAACAACACCAACAACAAGTTCTGTCGCAGCCGTGTTGTCATCAAGTTCTTCTGAAGCCCAGTCATCAACACCAACAACAAGTTATGTCGCAGCCGTGTTATCATCAAGTTCTTCTGAAGCCCAGTCATCAACACCAACAACAAGTTCTGTCGCAGCCGTGTTGTCATCAAGTTCTTCTGAAACTCCATCATCAACACTAATCACAAGTTCTTTTGCTGACGTGTTTACACCAAGTTCTTCTGTGGATCAGTCATCGACACTAATCACAAGTTCTTTTGCTGACGTGTTTACACCAAGTTCTTCTGTGGATCAGTCATCAACACAAATCACAAGTTCTTTTTGCTGACGTGTTACAACAAGTTCTCCTGTGAATCAGTCATCAACACTAAATCACCAAGTCCTTTACGCTGACTGTTTACAACCAGTCTTCTGTGGATCAAGTCGATCACACAAATCACAAGTTCTTGCTGACGTGTTTATACCTAGTTCTTCTGTGATCATCACCAACACCAAAACAACAATATCTGTCGCAGCCTGTTTCATCAAGTTCTTCTGAGGCCCAGTCATCAACACCAACAACAAGTTATGTCGCAGCCGTGTTATCATCAAGTTCTTCTGAAGCCCAGTCATCAACACCAACAACAAGTTCTGTCGCAGCCGTGTTGTCATCAAGTTCTTCTGAAGCCCAGTCATCAACACCAACAACAAGTTTTGTGGCAGCCGTGTTATCATCAAGTTCTTCTGAAGCTCAGTCACCAACACCAACAACAAGTTCTGTCGCAGCCGTGTTGTCATCAAGTTCTTCTGAAGCCCAGTCATCAACACCAACAACAAGTTCTGTCGCAGCCGTGTTGTCATCAAGTTCTTCTGAAACTCCATCATCAACACTAATCACAAGTTCTTTTGCTGACGTGTTTACACCAAGTTCTTCTGTGGATCAGTCATCGACACTAATCACAAGTTCTTTTGCTGACGTGTTTACACCAAGTTCTTCTGTGGATCAGTCATCAACACAAATCACAAGTTCTTTTGCTGACGTGTTTATGCCTAGTTCTTCTGTGGATCAGTCACCAACACCAACAACAAGTTTTGTCGCAGCCGTGTTGTCATCAAGTTCTTCTGAAGCCCAGTCATCAACACCAACAACAAGTTCTGTCGCAGCCGTGTTGTCATCAAGTTCTTCTGAAGCTCAGTCATCAACACCAACAACAAGTTCTGTCGCAGCCGGGTTGTCATCAAGTTCTTCTGAAAGCCCAGTTCATCAACTACCAACAACAAGTTCTGTCGCAGCCGTGTTGTCATCAAGTTCTTCTGAAGCTCAGTCATCAACACCAACAACAAGTTCTGTCGCAGCTGTGTTGTCATCAAGTTCTTCTGAAGCTCAGTCACCAACACCAACAACAAGTTCTGTCGCAGCCGTGTTGTCATCAAGTTCTACTGTGGCTCAGTCATCAACACCAACAACACTAACAACAAGTACTGTCGCAGCCGTGTTGTCATCAAGTTCTTCTGAAGCTCAGTCATCAACACCAACAGCAAGTTCTGTCGCAGCCGTGTTGTCATCAAGTTCTACTGTTGCTCAGTCATCAACACCAGCAACAAGTTCTGTCGCAGCCGTGTTGTCATCAAGTTCTTCTGAAGCTCAGTCATCAACACCAACAACAAGTTCTGTCGCAGCCGTGTTGTCATCAAGTTCTACTGTTGCTCAGTCATCAACACCAGCAACAAGTTCTGTCGCAGCCGTGTTGTCATCAAGTTCTTCTGAAGCTCAGTCATCAACACCAACAACACCAACAACAAGTTCTGTCGCAGCCGTGTTGTCATCAAGTTCTTCTGAAGCTCAGTCATCAACACCAACAACAAGTTCTGTCGCAGCTGTGTTGTCATCAAGTTCTTCTGAAGCTCAGTCACCAACACCAACAACAAGTTCTGTCGCAGCCGTGTTGTCATCAAGTTCTACTGTGGCTCAGTCATCAACACCAACAACACTAACAACAAGTACTGTCGCAGCCGTGTTGTCATCAAGTTCTTCTGAAGCTCAGTCATCAACACCAACAGCAAGTTCTGTCGCAGCCGTGTTGTCATCAAGTTCTACTGTTGCTCAGTCATCAACACCAGCAACAAGTTCTGTCGCAGCCGTGTTGTCATCAAGTTCTTCTGAAGCTCAGTCATCAACACCAACAACAAGTTCTGTCGCAGCCGTGTTGTCATCAAGTTTTTCTGTTGCTCAGTCATCAACACCAACCAGAAGTTCAGAGACATCTGTAGCTACTCCATCTTCGATAACAAGTTCTTCTCCCCAACTAGGTATTTACTTAAAATTTTTCCATATGTTATTATGTTATTCAATATGTTTTCGACAAGTTTGCTGAGTGCTTCTTGTCTTGTTAAAATGATATCTCATGACATCTTCTTTTTCTATGTTTTTATTTGTTCCCTAGCCATTAGAAGCTGCTTGTTGCTTTGATATTCCACACAGCAGTTGTATTTTTTTCTCTAATCTGAAAATTGTACCGTCATACAATATATCAAAATTATAGTTTCAACCTCGTATCCATTTCACAAGCTTTTTAGAGTTGTTTTATTTCTTCTTTACAATGGTGCATGCATCTTTGCAAGAAATGTTTCAACGGAGGCTGATTCCTCTAACAGTTCTTTGCATCACGAAACATTGTTGATTTATGAACTCTAAAATTTGCACATCTTGCATGGACAGAAGTATGCTGTCGGCCGGTCAGTTTCCAAATTCTCTATGCAAATATTCATATATTTATCCTATTTGTAATTCTTTATAACGATAAATTGGATTGTCGCTATATGTTTTCTATCGTTTGATTTTGAACTTGCCAGTGATATTGGCGAGTTTGAATGTGAAACTGAGCTATCTTCTCCATTTGCATCTTTTTAGCATCTTCGTCTTCTGTTATAACTCAGCCAACAACGACCACGCCAAAACCTGGTATGTTTACCTATTCTGAGAATCAATCTTTTATTCATTTCATCAGATTCAAGATAATTTTTTTTCAAATTTCCCGAACAGGACGGATCGGAATTTATCATTATTATTCTATTATTACTTCTGTCGTCAATACTTTGACTTTACAGGTGTTGGATGTAACCGACATCGCGCGATCTTATCGTACATTGTGACAAACTATCTCTCTATGTCGGTCACCTTGTTTGTGATGCATCCATTGACTTGTCCAACCGAAAAAGCTCCATTTTATTTGACAATTTTCGTTTCATTTCACCAGTAATTAAGCTACAAATTTGTGTTCACTATTTGTTTCTATAAATTGTAAGAATTACGACAGAATTAGAGTTTGAAAAAGAATTGTCTTCAAGATTCCTTGATTTAAAGGAAGACATTGCTTTCTCGTTTCTTGATTATAGAGTCTTTAATGAAAGTCTTGACTATTGCAGTGTTCTCCATCAAGTGTTGTTATTTACTAAAAAAATTTTTGTTAACTTTTATTTTATCAATGCGTAAGATTTTTGTTGTCAATCTGTATGATTTTTTAAGTATTAGGTATATATTTTCTTTGTCCGGCAAATCAAAATTGCTTTAGGCCAGTGTGCCTTAAAACCAAAATTGCGAGTATTTATCAACTGCTTTTTGCGCAATATCTATATAAATCCTCTTTAATATATATCTATATGTGTACCTGAAATCACAATATTCTTTAGGAGTTTGTCAAAAGTCAAAACAGATACCCTATTTGTGAGAAAATGGAGGGATGTCAGGAAATCAATGGTAAAAGAAGATGTATCTGTCCAAATGGAGTCACCGGAAACTTTTGTGAGACAAGTTAGTCAAACTTTCATTTTGCTTATGCACAAAGAAAGGGTTTTGTTTTAATACATTAAGACCCTACACATTTGCAAAAATAGTTTTCTTATGGTAAGCCTTTTAGAAAATGTTTATTATCGCGATGCTGCTGATCAGAAAAATTTTGGCGTGCAGCGCACTATCCTGACGCGTCTGCTATATCTGTAGACTGTGGCGTAACCTCCAAGCAACTAATAATGCATGAAAATATCTATTGGGCTTTATATAAAACTTTACTCGTTCTTTCTAACTTTGGGATCTCAACATTTTGGAACCAAGCCCCCGTCGACATTAGACACATCCTTCTGTTATTGAAGCCACTTTTTCTAATTCGCATCAAGCTATTTATATTATACATTCTTCGTCTCTTGCTCGATTGTAGCTACCCTCATCAGTTGTCTGTTGCATTCTCATATGTAAATCCAATGCCATTTTTCTTATTTAATGATGTTATGCATTTGGTTTTTATCAAAATACCAGAGCGCAACATCTTTTACTCTTTACCATGATCTTTTTTTCGTCGTGTTTTTATGCTTGATATGATACCACGAAACTGATCTTTTTTCCTAGCTTTCTGCTTTCTAAACTTATCCGAATAGAAATGTTCTTCAAAATCTTCAGAAATATAAATCTTTGTGTTTGTTCTTTTGTGTTGATTTGTGCAAATTTTTAAAATTATTTTAACTGTACTTTCTTTATTTTAATTATCTAATCATTTTAACGTTTTTTTGTTTTTAATAGATCTGGTGACGCTTCAAGGAAATTTATCCATGCCTAGCGTCACTGTAAAAGGAAGTCAGTTGATTTGACTTCAAGAAATAACAAAGAAACGACTTGAAGAATTCATCATCAACCCTTTACATTGATTTAGTCGACCTAATCAAGCCAGAGGTGTCTTTTCTTTACGACAGTCCTAGCGCCCATCGTTACTAATATATTTTTGCTAGTTATTAATCTGAAGCTGTAGTGAACAACAGCGCCAAGTATCACGATAATTCCGACGCAAAGTAAATAAAACCACCATCTAATCGGACCAACACCTTCGTGCAGAAGCCCAAACTACAGAGAACTCTCTCTTCTCTATTATTCCAATGGTAACAGAAATCACATAGGACTTGAATACCAAATTGAAGCATGACAATTTAAAATCAGCTAAAAGTAAGAACCTTCTAGTGAAATCAAATTTCTATATACATCACCCTATTAAAACTCCGATAAATTAATTGGATCAGCATTGAAACGAACATATTTGCAAACATTACTCGATATAGTCTGTATGCAAACATAGACCAAGTGACAATACATCAAAAATAGTTCAAAAACTGTGATTCTTAAAAACTCCTTGTCAATGGGAGTAAAACCTGCTTTTTCGTTGTTCATCGGTCGTCCGTTTTTTACAGAGAGCAATTCAGACATAATAAAAACACACTATCTTCGCACGAATCTTATGCAAAAGTGACAGTTTTTTCATTATTTTATTTTTTTTACCGATGATTATCATGGTGATTATTTTTTCAGTTGCTGAGAAAATTCAAAAGTGCAGAGCCAACAGTTGTGGATGTAAAAATATTTAGATCAAGTGGTGTACCCGTGTGTTAACTTTAAAACCGAATTATGAATGTAATATTACTCACATTGCTTCTTTTAAAGTTGTGTCTAATAAGTATATTCATTCTCACTTGAGATTCTTCAGCTATTTGAGTTGATTCCTAAACACCTTGCTATGAGTTGTAACTGAACCTACGCCATTAAATTTTCTAGCAAACTTTGAGATCTATCGCGTCTAGAAGATTCAGATGAATTCCTGATGAAAGATTGTCAATACATTTGGTCGTTGCGCTCGAGAACAATTCGTGATCGAGCGCACAATACATGTGGTTAGCTGGTGGTATTTTGATTGGCTAAACTACGTGCCTCTAGGTTGCGTTCGTGACGTAGATAGAGGGGGAGGGTCTGGGGAGCGAACGCCTGTAGAGATAAACTGTTATTTTATTGGAAATTTCTGGTTTTGTTGGAACTTAATACGGTGTGTTATGTGTAATCTAAGATTCTATATTTTGGTAGAAAATTAGACAAATAATCTGATAATCTGAATATATCAAAAGACTCATTTATACAGTTCCTATTGTCGATATTACTTTTGACATTTGCATTCATGTGTGACTTAAAAGCCCGCTTAATAGCTAAACAACAATAAATGCTGGCAAGATTTTCCACTTAAAATTTTTCATTTGAAAAGATTTCTCTGCTCAAGACATTAAAAGAGGATTTAATCCTAGAAAATATGCAAAGGTTAAGGAATTAATATAGGGCAGCCATCGCGAGAGAAAACAACCAAAACGTTCATTTTGTATACAAAAAGAGAAAGCTATATGCCCTCCCCCCTCCCTCTACATTTTTTGGCTCTACAACTGCTGATATATAAGAGCTTTAGATTTGTGTTGGAAAATCTCAATTTTCTACACTGAATTTTCCTATCTAGGCCATATGTTCTTGGCTTTTAATTCTGTTAGCTATTTAATTAATTGAGACATAACTGATATCTTAACACAACAATGCATAAAAATGGAAATTTCTTATGAATTTTAGAAGTTTTAGAAAATGAAAAGTTTACTAACTAAATTCGATCATAACCGAGACACTGTTACAAATAGATGCGCATGCATAGTGTAAATCTGTATGACAAACATATTGTTGTAACTGTTACTCACTATTGGCGCAATACTATTTGGTTATATTCAGAAGCTTTTCAACTCTTTAGCCCAGATAGCCACAATAGATGATAGAATTTCTTAAACAAAAATATCTTTAACACTCCGGCAGCCGAATGACTCCAAACGCTGCTACTTACTTCGAATTCAATAGACTTCGTCATTAATTGTCCCTCTCATAATGACAGTTTTGTGGCAATGAAGGACTGGATTATTTTCCTAGAAATTTTTTAATTGAGTTATTTATGGCCCATACCCTGAGGCTTCTCGGCCGTCAAGTGACCACCTGAGGCCCCCTCTTCTCGAAACTTGTTGTGGCCTACGTGAGTTGATCTCTC